AAAAAAAGGGCTTGGAGGAGCCTTGGTAGAGCAGTGACTACTCGTGCATTGGGCTGTTCACTGCAAGGTCAGCAGTTCAAAACCACCAGCCCCTCTGGGAACAAGATAGGATTTGACTCTAGTAGTCTTGGAAACCCACAGGAACATGTCTACCTTGTCTTATAGTGTTGAAGTTGACATCGACTGGATGGCCGTGAGCTTGGGCATCGACCCATATTCTCCTTCCTTTAAAATCAATCATTTCTCGGAGGAGCTGCCATTGTTTTAATAAGAACGGATACAATCTAGAACAGCAGTTCTCAACCTGTGGGTCGAGACCCCTTTTGGCGGGGGTGGGGGAGGTGTCCAATGATCCTTTCAAAGGGGTTGCCCGATTCATAATAGCAAAATGATAGTTATGAAGTAGCAACAAAAATCATTTTATGGTTGGGGGGGGTCACCACAACCTGAGGAACGGCAGGAAAGGGTCGAGGCATTAGGAAGGTTGAGAACCACTGCTCTAGAAGCTGTGGTGCTAGTCAGTCTAGAACGGTGACAAGTGATTCCTGGGACAGAGCTGGGGGGCGGGGGGAAATTTAAGATAGAAGAATGAATGACACTACACCCTTTCCTGATCCTCCTAGGATAAAGATCACAGGAAACAAAATATTTCTGTAGCTCAGTGTGGCCTAAGGGTCAACTCCAAGGTAGTATGCAAAAGTTTCTTTTTGCGGATTGTCCCACCAACTAGATGTTTCATTTTGTCCTGTGTGTGTGTGTGTGTGTGTGTATTTGGGGGGTGGGGCAGCAGTGGCAGCACCCTTCTCCCTCCAAATGTAACCATTTGAAAGTCTTTGTTTCAACTTTTCATTTTTCAAGTAAAACATATATGTATGTATCATTTCTCTACTCCCCTCTTAATGAGCCAGCCTGATCCGCATTCTGTTTCTTCCCCAGGGCAGTTCAGGTTGCGCTATGTTCTGCACAGCCCGCTGAAGCAGTTTCAGAGTTCCATTTCTTCCCTTCTTACAGTTGCATACCACTCGGACTACACCATCAGTGAATTCCACTCATCTCTGGCTGCTACAAATTTTCGATTAATCTTGATTAAAAAAAAAACCCAAAAACAACAACAACACACCCCAAAGCCCAAGTACAAGGTGATCTGCTCCAGCACACATAGATGATAAGCTTATCAAGATGAGATTAGACTAAAAAAAACAAGCAAGCAAGCAAGCAAACAGGGAAATAACCACGGCTCACACAGACTGAGTTTATTTCTCACAAGCTGAGGCAGTGGTCCAGGGGCGACATGGTGGCCACCCTCTTGTAGTCCTCCAGCCGTGGGGTGGCCTCTACACTTCATGAGGGTCCCAGGTGACTTCGCTGTCATGGCCACGTGGCCAGCAGGGTGGGGGGCAAGGCAGGTCCTCAATCTTTATTTAGGGACACTTTCATCAAGGTTGAGCCTCCCTTCACTCTGGTTTTATACCCAGGAGTCCCCCGACACGCATGGTGAGGCCCGCCTGCCCATGGCACGGGTTCCTCTGGCTCCTTACCTGCGCGGCTATTCCCACAAAATGGCGAGTTTCTTGTGGCACCTCCTGTGATCTTACTTCTCTCTACCCACTGGGGTGATCTCCTTTCTACCTCCAGCATGGCAAAGAAGCTGCTGCAACCCCGAAGGCCCATGCGGGTTTTTCTCTACTCCTGCCATCATTTGACTTACTTATCATACAAGGCTCTCTTCAAGCCACTGAGCCCCACCTCGTGGGGCCCCACCTCAGGTGGTGCTTGGTTTTATACACGTAATGGCTCTGTGCCCATGGGGAAGTCCTTCCCAGTCAGTATGATGACCGCCCCCCTTCCCCTCCAGACCCAAGAGCTCTTCCACAGCCACGAGGAACACAAGCGCGCCCGCCCCCCCGTTTGAATAATCAGTAAGCCCATCCTACTTTGAGGTGCCATAGCCAGCCCATGTGGACCCCTAATCAGCTGTGTAAAAACTAACTTCCCAACCACTCTCGTGGCTCTTCCAAGAACGGACAATAATGGGCTAAAGCACCACCTTCAATGTTCCCAAAGCCAGGGTCATGACTTTTTCCACTTGCCTTCAACCCACCCATGTCCCATGTTTGTCTTGATCAAATGGCCTCACCCATGCTAAAACATTCTCAGTGGGTCTTGGGTCCTCTCCTTGCCTTCTGCCCCAATACAATGACCCACAGGCTTTTGAGTGTTGTTTATTACTGGTGTTTTTCTTTATAATTTGAATGCTCGGGAACACCTCATTGCACCTCGCCAGTTCTCTTTAGTTTAAACCATCTTGAAGATCTGTTTTAATCTTCCTAGCTGCTTTTTTCAGGTTTCCAATATCACCTGATGTTTGATGTAAATTCCTGGAAAACAAAACACACAAAAACAAAACACTAGAAAATTCAGGCAATTATTAGCAAGAGCTCGCTTGGGAGTGGCAGGAGGGGTGAGGGGGGTTTGTCATCAACACCTGTATTTTTGAAGTTCGGGGATCAGACATATTCCAAAATCATTTTGCTAAGAAATATTAAATAATTTTCAAATTAAAAAAAAAATCCCAAATCCAAAGCACAAGTGTATTAGCTACTTTTTGCCCCTAAAATAAATTCCAAGTTTCACTTGGTGCTCAAAGTCTTTCCAAGCCGGGGGGTGGGGTGGGGTGTTGTCCTGTTAGCGCGCTTACCCATAACCTCACTCTCCTGCATTGCAACTCACTATTCCCGACAAGGCCCCACCTTCCCCACCAGCCACCACATTTGCCAGCCCTTTTGTACTTGTCTGCCCCCTGTAAGTCCCCACATAATTCTAGACCCAACATGGTCTCCGCCACTGGCCTTTCCTACCAGCGTCACCAGCACCTTTCCTCTGCCTCAAAACCCCATGTGCACGCAGTAACCTAGATGCAAGGGTGTCTGGGAGAGGTAGTTTTCCCACTCTCCAGGCCTTACAGCAGAAGAGGGCATAAAAGGTTGCAGAAATAGCATTGAGGACGCACAGACCGTATACCCAGCAGAGACATGGATGGAAAAATATAAGAGTAGGTAGCGTGGAAGAGGTAAAATGCAACAAGCCTTGACTATATTAGGCCAAGGAGTTTGGACTTGATCCCCAAGGTCCCAGAAAAACATCTGAGATATGGAGAAAGAGAAATGACACAACAAAAGCTGATTCAGGAAAAAGCCTTCTCAAAGATAAAGGGCTGGCCGTGATGCTGCTACTGCCGTACATCAAGGCCAAAGGCAATGAAAAGGGCCTACAAAAGCATCAAAGGAGATGGAGGAGAGAAGGATCTGAGGCATAAAAATACACGCCCAACAACGGAGGCTTCAGGCTAGAACTCCACGATACATGCTGCATCGAAGGTCTCGGAAAGCCCCTCTCGCTTTGGCTTATATTTAGAGAGACTATAAATTGCTCTCAAGTTCTCGATATGGACTTGATTATGAACATCCTTTCAAATCAGATCCGGGACAAGGCCGTCTCAGCGGAAGACATAAGACACGAAGCACTTCCATGTTCTCCTTTCCTCAACAGGTTTATTGCCTTTTAAGAAAATTTTTGTAAAATATAAATACAAAGGCAGAGAATTTACTTACAAAGTTAAAACACAGATTTCAAACATAAACACACAATTCAGAAAATTTTAGTCGTATGTACATCTTCAAGCAACCTCAAACATTATTATTGTTAGTTTTCCATATTTTACAGGGTACAGAAAAAAAATAGCTCAAAGTCTTCTTTAAATAAGAGCATAAAATGTTTAAACATATAAACAATCCGGTTTTGATGCGTGAAAACGAATTTCACAGCTTTTAAATTAGGATATAAAAGTTTCTTACAATTAGTTGCTGTGTGTGGATATGGTATTAATTTATATTACATCCTACTGGATCAGATCCAATAGCATTTACCTGGCCTGAGCAGGTAACTCTGTAAACAAAACATAAACAACAACACCAAGCTAGCTCCTCCCAGTTAGCTCCCCCAACCAGTCACACAGGAAGCTGACCACCTCTCAACAGTTACGGCTTTGATCCTCGGAGCGCTGATGCAAGCACGGCAAAGTGTGGAATTTCTTGGCCTCTAATTTTTTAAAAAGACGAGAGAGAAAAAAACAAAACAAAAACGAAGAACAGAACAAACCCACCGAAAATGAAAACCAAATCCAAACAAAAAGGTTCTAGGCAAACATACCCCCAGACACGTGTGCATGGAAAAGTAAAGACACAGTCTAACAACGTCATAAAAAACGGACTGAAGTTTAAAAAAAACCCAACAACCAAAAAAACCCCAACATCAAACAAACATGTTCCGAAGTCCTTCCAATGGGAGTCATTTCTCTTATATAAAGAAGAGATATTTTTCATATGTAATAGTGTCCTTTCTTTACAGAAATAGTCGTTATTATGACACATATGCACAAGGATTAACACTATGTCACACTGTACACAGCGGGCCTGGCGCGCTCACCAGTCGTCCTCAGAGGCCACATCCCTGGGGTGTAGCCACTCCACGGAGGAGCCCAGCAGAGTCTGCAGCTCGCTGGTGAATTCGACCAGATCTAACAGCTCCTTGCTCTCAGGGTTGAAGGCTTCCAGGTCTTTGGAGCACGAGAACAACAGACTGGCCGACACCTGCCGATAAAACTCTGCCTCTGCAATTGTGACAATCTCCACATTGGGGAAATTGCAGCGGAATATGCGGGATGACATTTTCAGTTTCTTCAGCACATCGGAAAGCAACAGCCAGTTCCTTGGCCTACAGAATTGAAACGAGAGTGGTCTCAGGCTAGGGCCAAAAGGAAAAGCGCTCCCCCACCAGTACCTGACCACCGGTCTGAGCAAGACTGTAAGCCAGGGCTTCGCACCCCACCCCTGACATGTCTCCCCCAGGCTGGGGCCCTTTCTAGATGAGGGGAACGGCTCTGTAACCAGAATGCCTGGAGCAGACCAACCCGTGCTGCCAGGAGGAGGAGCCTCACTGGAGGCAGCACCTCACAGGGCCTGCTCCACGGCTGACAGTCCCTTCAGCTGCTTCTGAGAAGCTCTTATCAATACCACCTGTGACTCCTAGACCTCAGACAATGTGGCCATTTGTAGGGGTTTATGTGTTGCTAATAGTTTATGTGTTTATAATATAATAGCCCAGAAGCATATCTGTTGTGTGTTCAACACACAACAGATCTTGGGACTGAGCTGGAAGGCCAAGACTAGACCCACAACATGTTGACATCCTGGAGACCACGGATGGGGACTGCAAGAACATTCGTGGGAAAATCCCACTTATTTGTGGACCAGTGGCAAGTCTGGCCTCACAGAACCATGTCACTGACTGTGTTCTAGAAGGGGCAAGTGGATTTCAGTCCAGGCCAGGTCATCTGAGGTACCTGGGAAGGGTTGTGTGTCGAGGGGGGAGGGGAGGTCCTAAGGAGGACACACCCCCTTCCCCAAAGAGTTTTGTGACTAAGGCGTCAACTCGTCTTTGAAACTCCAGTGACTGACTTCAATGCCCACTGGCTTCTGGGGTATGACTTGCCTTGGTGGTGGCCTGATGGGGACAATTTAACATGCTGTGTTGTTCTCTCCTCCTTACCTGGGACAATTAAACTGACACCTGCTTTTTTTGGGGGGGGGGGGGAGGGGGAGAAGATGTGCTGCATTTAGTGATTTTTCATGTTCAATTAGCCCTCGCTCACCCATCCTCATCTGCTTCAAAGGGCTTTCCCACCCTTGTCAAGCCCATGGTGGCCACGCTCACCCCTGAGAGACAGACACTTGGATGTTGTAACACGGTAAGAGCGGGTTTTCTGAAAATTCGAATTCAAACACGTCGCTAGAGGTATCCTCGACATCCAGGTCTTCCGGTCCTGGGGGATTTGCCAGAACATCATAGCCACTTTCATCATCCGGTTCTAAGGCAGGGACAAAAAGCCAGCAGTGAGCGGGAGCGGGAGGACCACAGCCCTCCAACGGGGCTCTAAATAAAACAGGGGCCTCGCCACCCTAGCCCCTTTCCAGGGTGACTGGGCCTCTCACTACGGAGCCGAAAAGACCAACAGTGCTCACCACACACGGAGCTGCCATAGAAGTCCCAGGAGGCACTGGTGTCCTCTTGGCTTCGGCCTTGAAGGTCATTTAAATAATCTGGAAAAAGGGGGTGGGGGGACGGGGATGGGGAGAGAAGCAACAAGATAAATCTGCTGATGAGAACAAAATGCCAGCACAAGGTAGGGGCGGTTTGGTTTTACGCCCACAAATTCCAACAGATCGGCACTCCCTTCCTGGTGACCGAGTCCCTCTCACCCTCCCCATGTTGCCTGATAGAGCTGCCAGCCCCCACCGCCGCCGCCGGCCTCCCCCGCCCCCCCAGACTAGAGCCAGAGCCAGACGAGGCCTGCCGAAGGTGAAAAGGCATTTTTAGAAAATGCAAATCACTTTAGGACATGTTTAAAACATTAGGACCAATAAAAGAGTTGAAAGCCAATATAGCTGCGACGGCTAATCAAAATAATTAGCACTCAGCACTAGAGTACTATTTTATACACCCCACACCAAGGCTGTCCTGAAAACATTACAGCTCGTTTTTTTAACACAAAATTCCCACCCAGTAAGGTCCATGTGTGTTGCACACACAAAATTCTTTTAAACCCCATCGCTGTGGTCTCTCGAAGGGCCCTACCTGTTAGAAAGCGTTCCATGAGTTCACTGTGGGTCATTTTCATGACGGTTCTCCCTGAGTACGTTGCCAGAGTGGGGTCAGCACCATAGGAAAGGAGCAGGCGGACGATTTCCAAGTGATCATTCTCGACGGCATCGTGGAGAGGCCTAGGGAGAGGCAGGCGGGGTCGCGAGTTGAGCCTATGTGGGCCCCAGACCACAGCAGCTCCCCCAGTGAGTGTGCGTGCTAAGCCTTCTGGACAGGCTATTGTATTATTGAAGAGAGGTGCACGGTGACTGCCATTCCAGTCCTGGGGACTGCGCCAGGCCAAGGCACAGATTGGCCTCCCTTCCCACACCTCTTTTCCAGAACCGGGGAAGGGACAACTTCAGGCCTCTCTCTCCAAGGCAAATCTCCCTTAATCCAAGGCCGAAGGGGTCTCAAGTCTCAAACGAAACCGTTTGTGAGGCCTTTACACAGTGACAGACAGTGTGACAGTTAAGTCTTCAGGGGGGAGTGGGTGGGGAAATCGCAACCACATCAGAAGCCAATACCATACACGGGAAAAAGGAAAACAGTGGGCTCAACAGTCGATCCAAGAGCCCGACGCCAGGACCTTCTTTAGCCCATCAGTCACCAACCTTCTGCTCTGGGGGACTCTCAGGAGGGTACAAAGAAGTCCTCCTACCCAAATCTGCGTAAACAGAAACACTGCCCACAGTCTCTCCGGTGGGAATGCTATTTACAAATGAAGTTCACTTTGGCGATTTTTATGATTGTCTCAGGAAAGTCCTAGCAACCTGAGCGACAGACAGCAGCCTACCCACTCACACAACTAGGAAGATGCTGAGACCAGAGCCTGAGCCAAAGCAAGGCTCAGGGATGAGGGAGGGTCACGGCAGGCCCCAACCAAGCCCTCTCGTCTGTACAGTCTGTACTCTTGGGACATTCAGTTCAAAAACAGCCTGAATATGCTGATTTAATAACCGAGCCTGTGTGCCCAAGGTCTTAAACATGCAACGCCACTTGGATATTCATAAGGCTTCAACATTTCCCCAAGCTTTGTCCCCAGGAATATAACAGCCCTGACCCCATTGTCCTTCCTTGACACAGAAAGAGGAGGAGGAGGGCCCCAAACCCCCCGCCCCCCACCAAGGTTTCTAGCTGAGGAAGAGGGGCCCCAATGGAGACAGTGGGGGGACATGTTAGCCTATGGGCAAGGCTTCAGGGAGCAGAAAGCCCCTGGGCACTTTCCTCTGGGCTGCTGTGCAGTGCCAGTGCCAAGGAAAAGAAAAGGGGATGGGGTGTTGAAGCATCAACAAAATGTCCCTGTTTCTTTCTCTCCATCTCGGCTGGCTGCTTTTCTTCCCCTGAGTTTGGAGTTTGGTGACTGAACTTTTAGAAATAACACAAAAATTCAGAGTTCAAGAAGTAAAGGGAAAAGGCCAGGGTTTGTAAACGAAACAAAAACCCAGAAGTTCCATTCAGCTGGAAGTCCCAGTTAGCAAACATGCACATACCAGCCAAAGACACAGACACACCCCGATAATAAATGGAGATGCCCAAACCCGATCCTACTAGGGTAGCTCCGTACTGCTCTCATCCTGAGAGGTCACAGTCAGCAAAGCCCACAACGCTTTCTAGTGGCAGCTCGAGACACAGGAATAAGAAACCCCAAGGACCCACTGTGGATGGTTATATCTCATTTGCCCAGAAAGGTCTGTCTGGTTCAATTCCAGAGACTTTTGCCATCAGGGTCGTCACACACCCTCCTATCTATCCCCCAGGGTTTCCGGCACACCCCGAGACCAGACCTGTTGCCCGGTCTGAGCGCCAGACCCGCCACTGACCTGGTTCCATCCTGGGCACTGCAGTTGACATCAGCGCCATATTCGAGGAGGTGGCGCACGATGTTAAGCCAGCCCCTTGCACAAGCTTCGTGCAGAGCACAATAACCAGCGTTGTCTCGATGGTTCACATCGCAAATCTTGTTCTCCAGGCAATACAAGACCACTTCCTGCGGAGAGGGGACAGGGACCGCCATTAGAACACTGCCCAAATGCACCCCTATCAGAGTGACTTCATCATCGTTTCATGGGGTGTGCTTTCAAAGACCGTCACCCCTGGGGCCCAGGCAAGCGGGAGAGGGCTGTGCTTAGGGCTGAGATTAATTGCAGTGTAGGACTAAGTTTGACACCGGGCTCTGCCAATGCCCCAGCTGCCTGGCCCTGGCCCTGGCTCAGAACTTTTCCAAGCTTCCATTTATTTCCTCCTCTGCCAAAACCCAAGAGTCAACAGAACCTGTGGAGGGGTGTTGAGAGGAATGGGAGCCGACCATCCTACAAAAGCCCTTAACCCCGAACCGGGCATCCTAGATGTTGATACCATAAATGACACGGTCATGCGCTCAAGGGCATCCTACAGCATGGATTCACCAGGCAGGGAGGATGACACCCAAACAGTTGGGCCACTGGGCTCAGACGGAGGACGGGTCCGATGAGCTAGTGGGCATCTCAATTTAGAGAGGGCTGCCCAGGAGGTGAGCTGTGTCACTCACATCCTGACAAAAGCCCTTTCTATAGAAGGGCAAAGAATCTGCTACAACAGACCCAATTTTATACCAAGTTGACTGCAAGAGAAATCTTGACATAGCCCACACGCGTCACCACAGAGCCATGCTAAATGCTTCCAAAGAGCCCCACCCCCTATTTGGCCTCGATTGCCAACCCCCTCAGGACGGAATCAGTAGAATCTTTGGACCGGACCGGAATCTACTACAGCTCACACTGCAAAGCCTACTCATTTCAAGAACAACAACAACAACAAAAAAAAACCCCACCCAAGTCAACACCCCTCTTTCAGAAAGCGTTCTGCATCAACACTCTGCTTGCAAATCATTGTCAGGAATCGTCCTTCTCTGGGAGACTAAAATCTTACCACAAAGCTTACTCACTAAGCAAAGTCAATGCTTGCCCATCTAAGAAAGTCTCCGGACACAAGGGAATTGTCAAACCTACTGCAAGCAAACATGGTGTGAAAACTTATACGACGCTTCTCCTGACGAGCCACACCACCCAAGACTTGCTGGGTCCTGAGGGCTGTCGGTGGGCTAAGGGGGAACTTGGTGGGGCCACAGGGGGCTTTGCCCTTTGGGACCGCTCATAGCATCTCATCAGGGGTCATTCTAATGTGCTCAAAAGTCCGGGTGGCCTCTGAAAAAGCCAGATGCCTTTCTGGGACCTGTCAATCAGCACGCTCCCTCACTGGAGTGGCTAACTAGAATGTTCCAGATGTGCACCCTATGAACCTCATGTTCCTTTCTGGTAAATCTGCAATGCCTGGTTGGCAGCTCCTTTTCTGAAACTAGAGGTAGATGAGAGAAAGCATGCCTCCAAATGTGTTTCTTCTTTCAGAACCTAACCTGCCAGAAAGCCCACAATCCTCTGGGCTCCCAGGCCACCTGCCCTGAGCGCTGGTATCCAGGATACCGCATGAAGCTGTTGCTCTTATAGCAGGCCCTCACTAGCCAGACTCGAGTGGACGGCTGCAAGCTAATGAGAGCTGTGTGCCCCAGCCAGGGAGAGGCCCCGTCACGTGACTCCAGAATCAGGTCTGAGCGCCACCGACTGCTGTGCACAGATCAATTTTCCTGGATCCCAGCGGCCTGCCTGCTGTCCTGTCAAGCCAAGGTTTATTTGTTCTGACAATCATGGATGGCCTTCACCTGGAAAACTCCATGGCTACTAAGGCTGAGGGGAGGCTCAGTCAAGTCTCTCTGTGGAGGCGGAGAGTAAAGGTGCTAATGGCCCGGCAGCCAGGTCAGACTTTTGTCAAACGCCCTTTCCGGACCCGATCCTGCTCAGGGCCCCCAATGAGGATGCCTCCAGCACAAGGCTCTCCTTTGACACTTGGGGAAAAATCAAGAACCAGAGAGGACAAAGCTCAAGTTCAAGTCAACCAGAAGCACCAGACTGCCAGCTCTGACCCGCAGCCCCCGGGCCTTGAGGGCTGCCAATTCGGTGTCCCTGTGACCCTCTCTAGGTACACTGGGCTGCTAATCGCTGGGGAGAAAGATGAGGCTTTCTACCCCTATTAAGCGTTACAGTCAGAAACTGACAGGGGCAATTCTACCCTGTCCTGTAGGGTCGCTAAGAGTTAGAATCGACTCGATGGCCGAGAGTATGAGTTTTATGACCCTCTCTGTTAGGGCCAAGTGGACCAACTATCCCATCCTGGCTGAGAAGAGGGTAGCCCCTTAATCGGTGGTGAGTGTCACCAACTACCATGGACGAGAGTGGCTGGGAGCCGAGACGCTGCTGTCCGTCCCCTCCACGTCTTGGTTTCCAACTCTACACTCTAGGAGCGAGAGCGTTTGACAGGCAGCCCAGCCATTCCCAAACCAAAAGCACACTGGTTTTGTTGGACAATTCTGTTAAAGCAACTCTAAGCCGAATGCCATTAACCGCAAAATGTAACCATAAAGGCCATAAACCCGACATTGTTAATTAATTAAATGCCTCATTAACTTTTTAAAAAACATGATTTATTCAATTCATAGAAAATTTAACCATCACTATGAAATGCACAAGCATGTGCTTCCTTCCACATTCTCGTTTTAAACGAAGACCCCGCAGGCTTCCTCTCCCTGCCTCCC